CTCTTCACTTGAAGCAAGCAAGCTTGTGTCATCTACCTAATTCAGAGTGTGAAATGAGTCTTTTTGCAATCCTGAAGCCAGTTGCTTCTTCATCTAGTCCAGTTTGTTGGATTATTTTATCAGCATACGGGTTCAATATGTATGATAAGATACAACACTAGTTATAAAGACACCTCTTCTGAGTTTAAATCATACAGTATCCCTTTATTCTATTCAAACAACAGCTTTTTGCGTCTATGTGCATATTCCACACGAGCACAATCAAGTGTTCTGGAATCCCCATTCTTTGCAATGTTAGCCGTAATTTGTTATGCATCACAAAGCTTTTGGATCATCTTTTTTTTAACATTTTAAAAATTATTATTAATGTTAATGAAAATTTACAGACTTTGGATTTCCACTCATTCACTGTTGCACTTTTCTCCCTGCCCAACTGCCTCCCCAGTTCACACCTGTCTTTGAAAAGGAAAATAAAAATTATTTCATTGTTATACAATCCCTCTCCCCTTGTAAATATCTAGCCTAGTGGTAAGTAGCTGGACTGCCATCCCAAAGGTATGTGGTTCAAATCCACCAGTTGCTCCATGGTAAAAAGATGGGGGCAGTCTCCTCCCAGGTTATTAACTGCTTCTGAAAACTTGCTGGAGGGTCAACTAGGAGTAAGTTCCACTTTGACAGTACGCAAAATCTTCCTGCTTTCTGCCAAGATTCATCTGATCCTAGCAATGATAGATATATCCTTCATTCCACATCCTCTTCTGAACCTGGATTACATTTCTAGAAGTTACCTGTACTGCTCCAACCATTTAAAAATTATCCTCAGGAAGATTTTACTTACATGTGGTCTTAATGATACTGCCTGATAATTTCCCACTGGATGACATTCCTTGGGAATGAACACAAAGGTGCACCTTTCCTGATCAGTTGGCCAGGCAGCTTTCATCCGTTATGCCTTGGCACAGATAAGTCGGCTCTTACAACATTGCTTCCATTTGTTCAAACACCTTACTGTCAACTCCTGGAACCTGGTTTTTCCTCGATGCCTTTGGTCGAGCTTATACTTCTTAAGATACCACTGGTTCTTGATCCCATGCTACCTCCTGAATGGCTGAGTATGGACCAGTTCTTTTTGGTATAAAAAGAATGTTTCTTTCTTCCCATCTTTATTTCTCCCAATTTCTTTTGGTGCTGCTTCTGTCACTCAACAGCGTGCCCACAGAATCCTTCAGCACTGCAACTTCAGGGTTGAATTTCTTCCCCCCTTCAGTTCTTTTGGCTTAAAATGTCAATCACATTCTTCTCTGTTGACTTTCTAACTCCAAGTCTACCCTCATTTCTCTGCAATCCTTTGTCTTCTTGAGCTATCCTTTGGCATCTTCTGTCCAACATTTGTAGTCACCATTTCTCCATTCAGCTTTAACTGCTCCACATTCTAGAACAGGATTCAGAATCTCTTCTGACATCCGTTTTGGCCCAAACTTGTTTTTATCTTTAAGAACCTTTTTTTTTTTTAAACTATCTTCATGTATCCTTGAGTCATCTCACAACTCATCTGGTCTCCAGTCATTGTCATTGGTATTTATTGCATCAAATCTATTCTTTAGATGGTCTCTAAATTCAGATGAGATATTCTCAAGGACATACTTTGGCTCTTGGGGACTTAATTTTCTTCAGCTTCAACTTGAACTGGCCTATAAGCAATTGGTGCTCTGTTTGACAATTAGTTCCTGGCATTGCTCTGATGATGTTGAGCTTCTCTAGTTTCTTCCCAAAGATGCAGTCTGATTCCTGCGTGTTCCAGACGCTAAGGTCCAAATGTACAGTAGTCAACACTCAGTTGTTGAAAACAGTATTTTCAAAGAAAAATCCTATCATAGGATTCTAACACCAAGACCATGCAGATCATTGAGTGGAAAACTTACTCTGTAAATTTTCACTAAAATCACAGTCAAGTTGTAAGGAAAATAGAGATCTTTTAAAACCTACCCTTGGAATTCACATGGTGTCATTTCTGCCACAGCTTATCTGTTAGGAACCAGTGGGAAAGAGCACCTCACATTCAAGGGGAGAAGAATTAGGTCTCAAACTTGTTTGAAAACATATTTTTTAATATCTTTTTTAAAAATTTTATTATTTTTGTGTGCGTGTACCGTCAAATCAGATCTGACTGGTACAGGAGGAGATTGCCCCTCCTTCCCCAGCAGAGCATCTGGTGGATTCGAACCGTGCGCCTCTGGGATTGTAGTTGCAACTCCTTGCCACTAGGCCACCAGAGCTCCCCTGAAAACATTTTTTAAGGGGCACAGGGGTGGCCTGCATGTTGTTTGGTTCACCTCTCATTGACTCATCTTTGGGTGAGCTTTAAAGCAGACATGGCCAGCTGCCCAGAGAGCACCGATTCTTTTTTTTTTTCTCCTGATTCATTCTTAGAAGTACATTTTATGCTGAAATCAGCTTCAGACTCAAAGGCAACCTGGCACGATTAGGTGGGAAGAGAGGTTTCTGGAAGCAAAGTGTACGATTAAGATGGTACGACACCCAGGAAGGTCCTGGGACAGCCACGCCGCTTTCTTGTGACACAGCTCTTGTTTAGAAGAGTCCTCAGGCACAGGCCTTGAGGGAGCTGACCACCATGGTGGCCAGCTGTACCGGGCCCTCGGCTCTAGGTGCTGCTCCTGTTTGAACACGTAACAGGTTGTCATTTCATGGAGTTCAGGGCTGGGGACCTCTTGATGCGGGAGAATCAATTAGCAAAAGAAGTGTGGTGGTTTAAAAATACCCAACAACTGCCAGGGAAGGTGTTATATGCGTTAGTCAGAGGTTCCTCGAGAGGCTGGCACTGACACGTCTCACTGTTTTCCTTGGGCGAGTTTAGCAAAGCAGGATGAGGTCAGATGCTGGCTTGAGGTAGGACCTGGGAAGACCGTCCTCTCAGGCCACTGGAAGAGGGATCACATGAAGGGTCAGAGAGGGTGGCTGCAGGGACAGCTGGCCACAGTCCAGTCACCCTCATTATTGTTATGTGCCATCAAGTCGCCTGCAACTCATGGCAACTGTATGCACAATAGCTCTGAACCCTGCCCAATCCTGAGCCAGTCTCACCAACGTCTATAACCCCAGCTAATCCATCTCATCTGGGGGTTTCCTCTCCTGCTGTGCCTCCACCCTTCCAAGCATGATGTCCTTCTCCAAGGACTGATCCCTCCTGGCCACACTGACTCCTCAGATCGTGTCCACACACAGGCATACAGATATACTCACCTCACCTCAGGAGTGCCTGGGTGGTACAAAGGGAAACCGCATCCAGTTGTTAACTGAAAGGACTGCAGCTTGAGTCTAAATGGAGGTGCCTCGGAAGAAAGCCCTGGCAATCTACTACCCCAAAAGCAGCCGTAGAAAAGTGCATGGAACAGAGTTCTGCCCGGACACACACGAGGCCCCCCGGACACAGAACTGACTCAACGGAAATGGCTTTTAAGACTTAACAGCGACATTAGAAATGTCGCAATTTCCTTGCTCAGAACTTGATGGGGTTTGGTTCTTTTCTTCTCAGCCCCTGGGGGTTTGTCTCCAGGAAAATCCACCACAGCGTACGCAGCAGGCACTTGTTCACTAATGTCACAGCTTTCTAAAGGAATCTCAGGCACTTTCAGTGGATACTCATCAGATTTTAGTAAATATTCTCACCCTGGGGCCACAAGAGCCCTGATGGTGAGGCAGCAGAACAGCTGCTGAAACACCACGCCAGCCCAGCCCACAACCGCGCTCCCTTCCCCACAGCTGCCGCTGGGAAGCAGCTTTGCTTTGGCCAGAAATACCATGGAAAGTCCTGTGTGGGGACCGCGGTTTGAGAGTCAGCAGCCCCACAGCCCCTTCTGACCACAGCTGTTCCGCCTAGGCCATCAGTTCCCAGCGTCCTGGTCTCAGATCCCACGGGGCTGGGTTTTCTCTCAAACCCAAAGCCCCTCCACGGGATCAAGGCCCGTCTCCACAGGAAGGATGCCCTGAGGAGGGTCCTGGTTTTGACCACAAAAGGGGTGCTCTCCCATCCTGGTCTGCTTTGCCACAGTCAGCACCCAGACCTCAGAGAAGGGAGTCCCTGTGGGCCAGTGATGCAGAGGAATGGGGAATCTGGAGCATTGATGTGGAGAAATGGGGTGTCTGATGTGTAGACCATCAATATGGAGAAGTGGGGTATTTGGTGTGTGGACCACTGACATAAAGAAGTGGGGTATCTGGTGCATGGGTCATTGATAAGGAGAAGTAGGGTATCTGGTATATGAGTAATCGATAAGGAGAAGTGGGGTGTCTGGTGTTTGGACTATGAATAAGGAGAATTTGGGTGTCTGGTGTGTGGAACATCAGTAAGGAGAAGTGGGGTGTCTGGTAGTAGGGGCATCTGAGTCACTGAAAAGGAGAAGTGGGGGTTTCTGGTGTGCAGACCACTGGCATGGAGAAATGGGGGTAGCTGGTATGTGGATTACCGACATGAAGAAAGCAAAGTGGGGCTGCTGATGTGTGGAGGACCCCAACAGGGAGAAGTTAGGGCATCTAACTTGCTTGCTAACAGGTCACCCCTCAAACTGCCCACTATGTTGAGAAGACTGGCCAACCCCTCCCGGCTGGGACTACCCAGCTCCGGAGCACACACTGGCCTGTGATGCCATGGCGCTCCTCCTGGCCAGCAGGGCCAGCGCAGCTCAAGCAGGGGTCTCAGGCCCATTTACCAGGGTGGACGCACTGGTCCTGCTGGCATCTCTTTGGTCCAAGAGCCACAGCATCGTCCTGGGCCCAGCGGTGTCCAGGTAACAAAGTTCTCTCTTGTGCTTTATCTGTGCCCACCAAAAGAATCACAACCCCCAAAACTGCAGAGGGTAACCCAAACCCCCAAACGGCATTCCTTACAAGGGGAATTTTCCAAGAAACAGTGAAGGAAGCATTTCTTTTGCCCTCCGTGAGGTGGGAGGGGCAGTGCTGGCCCCCCACTCTGTGCTGTGTGGTCACAGCAAGTTCACGCCGTGTTTGAGCAGCTTCTGCCTGGCTTTGCTGGAGAGGCTGAAGGCGCCGTCCTGGGGGCCGGGGAAGCCGGAGCTGCGCACCGGGGAGGCCAGCTGCTGGAAGAAGGTTTCCTGGGCCGGACTGCAGCAGGCGTACACGGCCGTGGAGGCATTCCTGCAGGGGGAGAGGGAGGGCCACAGTCTGATGCTGCGGGGCAGATCCCCGGGCTCGAAGACCCCAGGACTCCCAGAAGGGCCGCCTGTTGGTAGGGCTGTAGGCAACCAGTTATGTGCTCAAGCTTCAGACTCTGGTGCCAGTGACTCTGTCCTTCACGCCAGGGCAGCCAGAGCCCTCGAGCCAGAAGCAGTGACTGCTGAAGGAGTGACCTGCTGGGGACAAGTGCTGCTATATGCCAGGGGCTAAGCAGGGTACACGGCAAAGGTGGGGGGGAAAGCAATTTGTAGCACACTGCATTAGTGTGAGGACAGTGATGGGTTCCAGCACTCAGAGTGGGAGGAGAGCACAGGACAGGCCAAGGTTTTGATCTGCTGTACACAGGGTCATTATGAGTCAGAGTCACCTTGAAGGCAGCTCGAGAGCTCTGGTGGCTTAGCGGTAAGAAGTTGTGCTGTTAACCCAAAGGAATGCAGTTCAAATCTACCAACAGATCCACGGAAGGAAGATGGGCGATCTCCTCCCAGGTGACTGATTTACAGCCTCTGGAAACCAGCTGGAGAGTCAGCTATGAGTCAGTTCCCAACTCAACGAGCACATAACAGGTTTTAAAAAAAAGCACAGAAAAGTAGTTTTTTAGACTATTAATGATCAACACTGTACAAACAATAAAACCCAAGCCATCAGTGAAACTGGAATGAGCAATGAGGGGTGGGAGAATCTGAATGTTTTTGTAACGAGTATGTATTGGATGTGTTTTCAACTGGACAGATATTACTGAAACACCACTGATGTCCAGGAGAAAGAATGCCCTTCCTCCTCTCTGATGGTGAAGGCCTTCAACTTCTGTCACTGCTACAACCCCAGAGGTTACAGCAGGCCCGAGGCCCAGAGAGGGACGCAGACACAGAGTGACCCATGAATGAAAGGGCATTTAGGGAAGGGCAGTAACAGGAGCAGATGAAGTGAGGCCAGGGTGGAGTCATCAGAAGATAACAATCACAGGCTGGGAGCCCTGCCAGGCCTGGGGAAGGAGGTTCTGAGGCTGTGAGCAGTGAGGAGATAGGCAAAGCTCACCTGATAGTCATCTCGTACAGCGTGGGCCGCCGGGCAAAGTCAGAGTGGATCAGGCTGACAGCCTGGAGGAAGCGGCGATCCTGAGCTGAGGCCACGGGTGGCAGGTTTGCTGTGTGAAGGGGACACAGAGGTTGTGACTGCGGAGACCTCTTCTCCGGAACCCCTCGGCCCCCTGCCTATCCCTGTGGGGATGGAGAAAGCGCACATTGTCCCAGTGACTAGCACAGGTTCTGCCAGGTACCACCAAGCTGGGGCAAGCCTCGTAACAGACATTTGGACATGTGGGAGCTTCACCTCAAAAAGACAAATGGCAAATGAGTGTCAAGTGAATTCTAATCTCAGGAGTGGAGTGCAGCCAGCGCTAGTGGAGTGCAGCCAGCGCTAGATGGCATCAGACAGCTCCGCAGGGTCCCCTCACCCTCACTCTGGTGCTGGCCCCAGGTCCCAGCCTTCCCCAAGGCCCCAAGGCCCCCTTGGGCCATGTATCTCTTACCCATCAGCACGTTCTGAATGCTGTCATAGTGTGCAAAGTTGTAGGTCTTGTTCACAGGGGCGGCCTCATCCATGGGGATCGTCTCCTTGAGGTGTACCTCCAGCCCGTTCAGGGACGCCAGGCTGCTGTGGTACTGCAGGGGGCCGGGAAAGGGCACACTGCAGAATCCACCTCAGAACCCCAGGGTTTTCCCTTTCCCCACGCCATGCTGTTAGGTAACATCCAGTTGACTAAAAACTCCTAGCGACCCCACGAATAATAGCTGTGAACCTTGCCCTGCCCTGTGTCGTCCTCATGATCTCTGCCGTGCTCAAGCCCACTGCTGCAGTCTCTGGGTCAGTCCATCTCATTCAGGGTCTTCCTCTTCCAGAGTCTACCGTAGTGACTCGGCTTTTCTGAACTCAAGACAATTCCTGCCTCCTTTCAGGGGAGTGCTAACGTACACCCTCAGGTCCTCTCGGCTCCACAGGGTTTTGCCACTAGGCTTCTCTGCTGCACTAATTAAGCAAGAGGTCTAATGACACAGGCTAAGTCTCTTGTTTTGCTCATCTGTAAAATGGGAATACTTCACAAGTTGCTGAGCAGGGTGAGTGAAGCAGCACGTACAGCTCTAAAAGGCTATCGTAAAGCAAGGATTCTCACTACTGGACCAATAGGCAAAGCCTTGATGGATGGTGGGGAGATTGAAACTATCAACAACTTCATCTCGCTTGGATTCACAATACCTTTGGTATCAGCAGTCAGGAAATAAGGAAACATACTGCATTGGGAAAATCTGCAGTTGGGACCTCTCCAAATTACTGAGGAGCAATGATGTCAGTTTGAGGACCAAGGTGCATCTGATCCAGGCCATATAGTCTTTCTGATTACTTGATATGCATCTGAGAGCTAGACAATGAATAAGGATGACAGAAAAAAGAACTGATGCCCTTGAGCTCTGGTGTTGGAGAAGAGCGCTGAATATCCCATGGACCACCAAGAGAACGAACAGATATGCTGCGGAGTGCAGCTGGATTGCTCTTTGGAGGCAAGAATGATGAGGCTTTGTCTCACACACTTTGGACATGTTGCTGGGAGGTGCTATTCCTTGGAGAGGTGCATGATGCTGGGAAGGGTAGAGGGTTGGCAAAGGAGAGGAAGACCCTCAACATAGTGGCTCTTGTGTGTTAGAAAGTGTGAGGATGGCGCAGGATAGGATAGAGTTCAAATCTTTTATTCACAGGGTCGCTATGAGTCATATAAACCTAATAATAACAAGGCAGGGCATTTTTTTTTCTTAAAAAAAAAAACAAACACCAAGAAGTAGCAACCAGCATTATTAAATGTGGTGTCCGTTATGAAGGACATACAACTCATTCGTGTACTGATGACTTTCAACGGCCATTTGAGAAAAATGAGTGCACATGAAACACAGAAGAAAAATACAACCCAAAACCTCCCGAAGACTCACGTGCTGTTTCTGTTAGGGGGTCTGATTTGACTAATTTTCTGTTGAATGTCTCTGAAAGAATTCTTAAAGTCAACAGGTTTGACACACACACACACACACACACACACACACACACCTGGCTTTATTCTTTGGACTTCCTAATCCCTAGACTTCCTGGCTCCTAACAGATGCTCTATAAAGGTCTCTTAAGTCTGCTCTCTGGGACCTCTCCAGAGCACTGAAGTCAGTCTGGAGACTAAGTTGCGCCTGATCCAGGCCACAGTCTTTGCATCAGAAAGCCGGATAAAGACTAGGGATGATAGAAGGAAAACTGATGCCTTTGAGCTGTGGTGCTGGAGGAGAATACTGAATATACTATGGATGGCTAGGAGAACAAACAGGTTTGTCCTGGAGAGGATGAAACCAGGTTGTTCACTAGAGACAAGGAGAGGCCAGTCCTTGGAGAGGGACGTCATGCTTGGGAGGGTGGAGGGACAGCGAGGAGAGGACGACCTTCTATGAGATGGACTGATTCAGTGACTGGGGTAATGAGGATAGGTGTGTTAGAGACAATAAGGTTGGCACAGGATAGAGCAGAGTTCGTAGCTTCTGTACCTAGGATCGCTGAGTTGCAGGCGACTTGACAGCACATAACAACAAGTGGATGAAGAACTGAGCAAGGTCAGCACCACATAGGGGCTCAACTTGGGAGCTAGTTGGCTAAAACAGACAGTAGAGTTAGGGAAGAGGAAAGCTAAATACAAGAGTTCACCTTTGGAGTGCAGATATAAGGCAAACTGACACTGAGTTTAACAGATGTTAATGAGCCTCCAATCTCAACTGGTGGAAGTGTGTGCGTGTGCACACGTGTACAAGCCTCCACCATAAGGTCAAATCTCAGTGTCAGTGGCAGATTCTGGACCGTGGGGCCCTGGTCACGGCAAGCGCTCCTGTCCCAAGTCAGTGCCCTCGGGGAAGGACAGTGAGGACAGAAAGTCACGCCAGCCCAATTCCCCTACAGACATCACTCTCTACTCCCAACCCATACTCCAGACCAAATAACTTAGCAATGAGCACAGAGTTAAATCGCAAGATGTTTTATACTGGCTGACAAAGGACGACTTTCTTTCCATATTTTTAAATGGCTGGAGAATCTAATAAAACAAATACAAACATCTAACATCTTGTGACATGCAAAAATGATATGAAATTCCTGCTTCTGTGTCCAGTAAATAAACAGTTACCGGAACACCGTCCCAGCCATACATTTACTCTGTCTACAACTGCTCCATCCCACATCAGCTAGGCAGGGCAGTTGCACAGAGTTAAAAGTACCTGGTATTTTTCTTGTGAGTAAAATCACACGGGAGTTAAATGCTCATCTTTCTACTGCGGAGCAGGTCATGGATTTGAACCATGTACCTTTGGGTTGGCAGCACAACTCCTTAGCAGTAAGTCAGCTGACTCTTACTGTAATGAGGAATAAGTGATTTGATTAGCTGCATGTGGAGGCCCAGTGTGATTGCTTGTTCTGAGCAGAAACCATCCATGGCTCGATGCTGCCCCCTGGTGTGAATTCATCCGGATGCCCCGGCGCCTGCTCCCCTATCCCCAAACAATGAGGTGGGGAAGTGGGGACTGATCACAGTGAAAGAAAAAGTGGTCAAGTGACAGGTAGCCCTGGCGGGGTACAACACAATCAAGGAACCCTTTCACGGGTCTGTGTTCATGGCCCATCTGAACACCATGCGGGAGACAGCAGGGAAATCAGGTCAAGTAGTTTAAATGCAAGTCTGTGTCCAAAAAGAACGGCAAGAAAAGATTCCTCCCAGTTAGAACATATACAGGCAGCAGAGCTGGTGAGCAAGGCTGTCCTTAAAGCAGAAGGCCGATCAGAGTCGTTTACTCTGCTCTTTTTAGAAAAAAAAAAGCAAACACTAGCTTTTCTTCTTTCACGAAACAACATGCTTTTCTTAGGGTCTCAACAAGGTTACTCTAAGTTGGAACTGACTTGATGGCAAGTAACAAAGAGCACTCATCCAAGCCAGCGTATTTTCAATTCCTCCCCAAGCATCTGAGAGCTGGAGAGTGAAGGATGACAGAAGAAGAACCGAAGCCGCTGAGCTGTGGTGCTGGAGACGAGCACTGCAATGCCATGGACGGTCAGGAGAATGAACAAGTCTGTCTTGGAGGAAGTTCAGCCACGGGGCTCCTTTGATGCAAGGACGGTGAAACGGGGTCTTGCCTACTTGGGGCATTTACAAGGGGCTTGTTCTTAGAAGACGACATCATGCTGGGAGAGGCAGGGGATCAGAGAAAGAGAGGTCGACCCTCCACGAGCAGACTGACACAGGGGCCGTAATAACAGATCTGAGCGTGGCAGCACTCACAAGGATAGCCCGGGTGGTGGGGGAGGGCTCGATTTGCTACTCATGGGGTCACTGTGGGTCTGGATGGAACTTAATGGCAATGACAAGCCAACAAGAAACTCTTCTTTACATGGCAGACTACGGAGGCTGCTGTCATAACAACACGGGTGAGCTTGGACCAATCAAATACCCACATATGGAAAGCCCCAGAAGGCAGGGCTTAAGCCCCTTCTTCTTCATCTCTCCAACTGTGGTTTCAAGGGCAGATTCTTTTTTTTAAAATTTCGTGTGTGTGTGTGTGTGTGTGTGTGTGTGTGTGTATACACTGTCAAAAAGGCTCTGACTGGTACAAGAGATTGTCCCTCCTTTTGAACCCGTACCTCTGAGATTGTAGTGCAGCTTCTTGCCACTAGGCCACCAGAGTTCCCTGCAAGATCAGATTCTTAAGGGGACAGAGCAGCTGAGGGGGAGGGAGATGGGAGAGGGAAAAACAGCCAGAACTCTGGACCAACCACCAACCCCACCTGTATGAGCCCAGTTATGTTTCCTTATTGGGAAAAGAGGGTTTCAGATGCCTTCCTTCCAAAGTGGTTCTAAACAAGCCCACTGTGGTTAAGTCAATTCTGATGCAAATGGATTCTACTGGACAGAGGAGAACAGCCCCTTCCAGTTCCTAAGGCTCTCAGTCAATCAGACGGCCTCGTCTTTCTCCTGCAGAGCAGCTGGTGGACTTGAACTGCTCACCTTCCCATGAGCCGCCCAACACTTAATGCCCGGTGGTGCCAGGGCTCCTTCGAGCTGGCCTAAGACTTGATTAAAACAACAGCTATAACTGAGTTGAGACTGAGTGTGTCTCCACTTGCTTCCTACTCAGCCTGTACTATTAGTATTCGTTCTTTTTTCAGGAAGAAGGTAAAAAGAGAGAGAGGATGCACGTTCCCGTGTGCACACACGGGACTTTGCATGCGTCACGCCTGAGGCTCTGTACCACGCAGGCCACACGGTGAAAACCGAGCCCATGGTGGGCAGACGCCACGCACAGCCCCTCTGTGCAGCCATGAGGCAGGAGGATGAAGTCGACAAGGGTGCAGGGAACAGAGGCGCCCCGGCAGGCCGGGTGATCTGGGCTCCGTGGCGAGGGGACAGATGAGCAGGCCAGCTCTCAGAGAGCTGGGTCTCCTGCCAGGACTCTGCAGAGGCCTCCCCTCCTCCCTCTGCGGCCAAGGTGACTTGCTCTCCGGGAGGGTCACCTGCCCTGCATGCTAATGAGGCGGGCTTAGCACAGCTCAGGTTTAGGGAGGAAAACCAGGCCAACCCCAGGACATCGTGTGCCTGCAGCATTCCCAACCTGCAATTCCTGCTCACCCTCTCCCTGCGACCACAGCAAGGCTGTTACTATAGCAACTGAACCGCCACAGTGCTCCCCAGCCCCCAGGTCAGTTTACCACTCAGGTGGGGAAAGCCCCAGAGGAGGATGCTGGGGAGTCAGGTGGGCTTTAGATGGCCCAGGCCTTCAAAGAAAGGCCTCTCCACATGATCCTGGGGACCACTGTGTCCACATGACCCCCGGGGACCACCGTGAGGCTGTGGAGGGGGCTGACGCTGTGACCCTGCAGACAGGGAAATGAAGCGGGGAGCAGAGGCCTGAAGTCTCTTCATGGTGCTGTCAGCGCTCCCCAACTACACGGGGGTCAGAGGCTGGGAGAGGGCACGCCTGGGACACCAGCTAGTGGACAGTGACTTGGTCGGAGGGGGCTGCACCGCTGCACCCTCCCTGTGCTAGGAACTCTCCTCTCAGACAGTCTTCCCCACGCCCCACAACGCCTTCCAGAGGTTGGAGATGAGATGCTGGAGTTGAAGGCTATCACCCTCAGCCCGGTACGGCTGCGTTCTCAGGCCTGTCACCTCTGCCCGTCCCAGCCCCCCCGGGCTGGACACATGGGGACACTCACCACCTCCGCGATGGCCAGGCTGTCCCCCAGCAGCGGCTCCTCAGCCAGCAGGGACAGCACCAGGCCCTTCAGGCTGTGGGTGTAGAGGTTCATCCTCCGGAGGGGCAGGTGGGGCCCACCCCAGGCTGACCCTGAGTCAGTTCTGTCTGCACAGGGGCTGCTGTCCTGAGAGTCGGCAGGGACCCCGTCTGCACGCAGGCCCTCAGTGGGCTGCTCCTCGGGAGGCCCCTCTCCTCCCTGGCCGGAAGCTGAGTGAGCGGACGGCACTGATGTGCTGGGCCTCCTGGGCTGGCAGTCTTCTCGGGGCAGGTCTTCCCAGGGCTCCATGGCTCCATTCTCAGTGGGCACTTCACATGGAGAGGCAGCGAGGGGGTCACTGGCGGCTGTGTCCACAGGCAGGTTCGAGGGAGGGCTGGGCTCCAGGTGGTCAAGGTGGCGGATGGAGTCCCCGTGCAGTGGGCCATTGGCTGGGGCGGGTGTGTGAGGGAAGGCACCGTGACCAGAAGAGGATTCTGCTTCCTGAGCTTCTGGAATATGAAGTGCGGACAAGTCCAGTTCACCTTGGGAGAAGCCAGGCTCCTTCCCCGGGACAGAGCCAGGACCAGGGTCCCAGTTCCTGGCAGCGCTATGCTGCTCCGAAGGCCCGAAGCTCTCACAGCAAGGGTCAAACAGCTGTCCGTTCACCCCTGTGCCATTCGGCCCAGCTAAGTCGGAGCACCTGGCCTCCGGGGTGGCTGTCCAGGTCCAGGCTGTCAAGTCCACCTGCCCGACGGCATCCTCCTTCAGTTCAGCTGGACTCTGGTTCCTGGGAGGACGCTGGGTTGGGCTCACCTGGCCGGCTGGTGAGGCGGGAGAGCTGGAGGACAAAGCAGACATGAGAGGGGGACACCCTGGGGGTGAGGCCCCTCCACACAGCAACTGAAGTCCTGCTTCCCTCAAAGCCCCAGGCACAGCGCCATGTGACGTCTGAGCCCACAGAGCTAAAGTTGCCATTGGCGTCCGAGGCCTGGCTTCAGTGGGCCTGAACGCAGCGGCACTAGGGTCACTTACTGAAGTGGCACAGCCCCAAGCAAGCATCAGCTACATTTGGAAGGTCGACTTTGAGTCAGGGGATCGCTGGTGGCTTAGTGGTAAGGAGCTGTGCTGGCAACCCAGAGTAACGAGGTCCAAATCCATCAACTGCTCTGTGGGATAAAAACAGGCAAGCTCCTCCCGTGTCATCTACTGCTTCTGGAAACCCGCTGGAGGGTCAGCTATGAGTCGGTTCTGACACAACACAATACGACACCAGCCCTCAGCCAGGCCCTAATCTAGGCGCTGTACCCATGCTATTTACAATATTTGTAATTAACCCACCCATTGCTGTGGATTCAACCCCAGCTCATCGAGGCCCCGTAAGACATGGCTGTAGGGTTCCCAGGCCTGTAACCTTTCCGGAAGCAGACGGCCACATCTTCTTCCTGTGGAGGGATCACTCAAGGGCTCAAAGCACTGACCTTTGGCTAGCCAGCAAGTGTTTAACCACTCTACCACTGAGGTTCCTACAATTAACCCCAGAAGTCAGTCTTACTGGGTCCAGTGTACAGATGAATAATTGAGGCTGAGGCCTAGGTCCCACATTGCTAACAGACCTGGGGCTGAAACCCGCACTGGTCTTACGGGGCCCCGAGGCCCTGGTCACAGCAGAGTGGTGACGAACCTGGACTGAAGGCCAGACTGGACGAACCGCACTAGTCAGGTTAAACCCTGGTCAGAGAGTCCCTGAAGCGGGTGAGGGTCCGGTCCCCGGGAGCTGGCTTACCCTGTCACGGGAGCCGCTGGGAACTCCAGGAGACTGTCTGCTTCCTCCTTGGTCACGAACACGGGCGTGATCTGCACATCCGGGGGAAGAGCTGCTCCTACGATCACAAGACGACACACAAGGGGGCTCGTTCCGGGGGTGGAGCAGACTGCAGGGGGTCAGTTCCACTACTTGCCCACCCGCCAGCGGGGAGAGGACTCCCCAGCCTGGATCACAGGCGTCATGTGGCAGCTCTACGTGGACAAGAACCCGAGTGGGCACCCCGCTGCCAGCCTGATGAAGGGAGATGACTGCGAGAAGACCGCTTCATGGCACTTTAAGGGGGGAAGAAAACACACCCCAAACCTAAACTGGGCGGCGGGGGGACACACTTTTCAACAGAAATAAAGGCTTTTCTGCAGCTCAGGTGGCCTAATGGGTAAGCTGTTGGGCTGCTAACTCAACAGACGGCAGTTCAAACCCACCAGCTGCTCCGGGGGAGAAAGATGGGCCGTCTCCTCCTGCATGACTTCAAGCCTCTGAAAACCCACTGGAGGGTCAGCTATGTGTCAGCTCTGACTCAAAAGCAACGAGTTTAAGGGGTCTTTATTTTATGCTTGTAAATGAGACAAATTAACCCCCTGAGGGGCTTTTCCAGGGAGCTCTGGTGCCACAGTCTATAAGGAATTGCACTCTTAATCCAAAGGCCACATCCCTCTGGCAGTTCG